AGCAGCAGTAGCAGTGGTAGTAGTAGTAGTAGTAGCAGTAGTAGTAGCAGTAGTAGTAGTGAAAATAGTTGGCAAGTAGGCTAATCCCAGAACTTTCGCAAAAAAACATCCTCAGCGGACCCATCACGGAACTTTCCCAATTGCATGATATCTTATGCCCGTGGTCGTTTTGTATAAATACAGTGACAAGGACCTTTAGACTCTAGACCAATGCTCATGTAAACGCAAGTGGGAGCGACTTCTCTGGAGTCGTTCCCCCTTCTACTACGATCGCAGGAGAGTGGCGGGCACCAGGGGGCTTGGGAGCAGTGGTTGCCAACGTTCCCATCTTCACAAGCTGAGAAGCTTGTTCTAAGTGTGGCAGTGGCTTGTCTTTGGGCGGAAGCGCAAGACAGGCCCGGGGTTTGCGCAAGATGCAGACGTCTTTCCGGCGTGCAACATGTTGCACTGCGTCATGCTTCTTTCCATCATGGCAGCCCGGCATGCTGGAACCCTGATGTCAGGAACCTTGACTTGAGATGTGAAGCGACAGGCTGCTGAAACTTCAGGGGAATACTCACCCGGTGATGGTGGCTGCTACGCGCGATAAAATCCATGGACAAGATAGGTGGCCGGCAAGTAAAACCAGAGAAAAACCCGAAAAGCTGACTCTGTAGCTCGGCACCGGGCTAGCTTGGGAGTCGAACGGGCAGTACTTGTCGGCGCTTGCGGCGCTGGCTTCTTGAAGAGTCGAGGGTGGGCATCGCTCTTCGGGGATGGAGATCTGCAGGATGGAGACTCCTCATCTTCCACCTTGTCGTCCTTCTCCCGGTCAGGCCACAAGTCCAAAAAAGCAACATCTTCCACCGTGATCAGCTTTTTGCTCGGATCCTGTCGAGAACTTGTCGGCCCAACGCACTGGAAGAGCTCCTGTGCGTCTCCACTCCATTTCCCTTTCTGGCAGCAGCGCCTCAAAATATGCAAGGTCAAGGTGCCGTTGCCTTCTTTGTCGAAGTTCTTGAAGGCATTCCCGACCGATCCATACAGTCTTGAGGCCCATTGCTTAAATGACATAAGCACATTGTAAATGTCCGGGCTGAACTCTTCCATGCTGATGTATCCAGAAGCATCGTTGTCTATGAATCCTTAAAACACATGCCAGTGTCATGTCTGCCTAGCTCTGCTGACTCGGTGCTGACGGTCTTCAGTTTCAGCCACGGCTCTCCATGCTGCCCCAACGTCGCCTTTGAATCTGACTCTCCTGCACTGCGATTGGCTGCGCGAGGAGAGATCGCGCGAGTGCACTGTAGACGGACATCCTGCAGCCTGCGACGAACTCCGTCCAAGAGACCTCAGGATGCCACGAGTCTCAAAACGATCTCATGGTGGTCTCTGGCCTCGTTCTGGCCATCAAGATCAAGCTCGCGCCAGGCATGTAGGGGGCTTCCTGGGCTGTAGTGGGGCAGAAGCAGAGTTGGCGTCTTTCTTGCTGTTGTGGGGCCGTATCGATCCAGAAGGATATGCTTCACCTCGTTCCATGCCTTCCAGGACAGAAAGCCATCGCCAAACTACAGGGCTCCGAAGATCTGCCTCTTCGGAGGGCTCCGATATGAGAAACAAAGGAGGCTCCTGCCCGGCATCTCTGGAGTTGGCATTTTGCAACGAAAACCGGTATCTTGCAGGCAGCTAAGGCAGCTGTCCCAAGTATCCAGCCAGTACAAGTCAGCCTGCACAGCATCTGCCGACAAGCGAATCATGAATCTACATGCCGAATTGACGAAAGCACGCCTGTGAAACGAAGCCTGCGTTGAAAAAGTCCAGAGCTGATAGCATTTCTGCCTCACAGGTGTGATAAGTCTCTTCCCTGTGCTGAGCCGGCTCATCGCGATTTGCAGAACGCCGACCTGATCCCCAGAGCAGATCCAGCCCAAAGCCTTTTCACGCAGCGCAGCAGAGGCATGCAGGCCCAGACTGCGCTTAGCTTAGCTCCTTCAGCGACTCCACGAAGTGACCTATCAGCATCTTCTTCACGGAAATCAGTCGTGAGTCGCCGGAAAGTTGCGGAGAAGCACGGGCTTTCTCCTTTCTGCGAGAGGTCGTTCTGAAACTGTGGATCATGTCGTATACAAAGATACTCGCAAAACCCTCGGGATCACGCCATCTCGGGAAGACTCCAGACCTCTGCTGTCTGCACTGTCTCTCTGTGAGAGCGTGACTGGCAAGACTCCTAGGAGTGTATTTTTATTGTTTGGCCTGCTGCGGCAGGCGGCCTTGTCTTGCGGACCAGAGTGGACCAGGAGACCAAAGGACCAGGGAACTGCTACACCACCACATGCCCCTCCGCCAGCCAAAACAACAACAAACACAGATGAACGAAGACAACCAACGAGACAAACAACATCCACGGCACCCCTCCTCGCATCGACTCTGAGACCGGGACAGCGCGGCAAGACCCACACTTCTTGCGGCACCAAGCCCTGTCACAACCGGTGCGACGCAAAACGCAGCTGGACGAAGCTGCAAAGCTGCCGAGGGCCTAAAGGAAGCCAAAGCCACTGCACCGAGCGGTGAGATGTCTTGCAGGCTGATCTTCCCGTCGCTGTCACTTGGCAGCGCACAACGCGCAAGACGATGCAGCTTTAATCTCAAGACGCCTCCGAGCTCGAGGCGAATCCAGTGTAGTCCACAACGAAGGCATGTGAACTTGATAGTCCTTAAATCATCACTGACTCAAACACTCAAGCCTCGACCAGCCTCTTTCCATGTCTTTTCCAAGGCTTTTGCAAGTTCGTGCTGCCGACAGAAGTGCCGAAGAATCCTGAGAATCATGCTGCAGCACTGTGGCATGAATTCATGCATTTCGACCCCAGCTCGAGGAGCTTATCTGCAGATCAGGGGCAGCTTGTCTGCGAAGAAATGGCCATCGGGATCGATTCCTCTCCTCCACGCACGGGCCTTTCGAACGTTTCTTGGATCCGACGCTCTGAGAAGGTCCGTCAGGATGGAATCAAACAATTCCTGCAGCTAGGCTAGGGCTAGGAATAGGTTAACAGATGACATAACTCGGCTACGAGAGCAAATGCAGAAGCAGGAGGAGAACATAGGAGAACCCCAGTCAAGCTCCGAGCTTAGAGTGATTCCAGTTTACCGAGCCAGGGGCGCATGACCCGTATTTCTCGCAGAGGAATTTCCTGGCCAAGAGACGTTCTGCTTCACAGCAGCTCATGCCCTTTAAGACATGCTGGCAGCTCAGGAACTTTGACTTCGACTGGCGCTGTGTTCTTCGCGCCTGATGCCCAAAGTCTTTCTCAGACCAAAGAAAAAATTGCGCTTTGCGGCACCTCGCGCAAACGATGTTGACCTCGGAAGGGCGACCAAGCAGAGCTCACTTGCACATCGAGGCCTTGATTTGGTTCATGCGCATCGTGGGCACCGGCGCTGTACGATCACCAACGGCGGAAGGGCCTCAAAAGCTTTGGCCATCCACGGCCTGGCATCCAGCAAAGCAGCAATGAGCATGAACAAACACTCCCCGAGGCACCGTGTCACACGCATGTGCGTGTGGGTGCACATACAAGGGCTAGCGCTGTCGCCCCAGGGCGCGTGAAGTCGCGAAACCGCATGGTCACGCGGGAACGCGTGAAGTAAGTTACACCAGGGCATGTGAAGTCGAACCACAAACATCGCTGCACATCGCTTTCCCCATAGCCATGCGCTTCCTAGCACATTCCAGGCACAGACGTCACCTTAGGATTTCGAGTGCCGCGCGCAGGCTTTCCTATTTTACTGTCCCGGAGCCTTGAAAAGTCTGCAAGTATGGCAACTAATCACCATGTGCGCACGCTTTCAGACATGTAACAAGCGCCCGCTCAAGACACACATCATTGGCATTCTAGCGCATGAGGACTCTGAAAGGTCTGAGTCTCCGCGGTCATGCCCCGGGCATGATGACTCCTTCGAAGAGAGAAACAGGTGTTTGCGAGGCTCACCCGGTGACAAAGCAGTAGCCGCTGCAACCAGAAAAGGCAGCAACGCACCGACTTGCTTTTCCATCCACCGCAGCACAAAGTGATGGCTGAAGGCCTGTCAGCCGAAACGGCAACAGCGAAGGATTCCTGCGCTTGAAGATGCATGCTTTAACATCCCATTATATTATTTTGTTGCTAGAAGCGGGTAGGACTGCATCTTCGAGACGAGGAATGCTCAGGCTGCCGTCTCTTCGGGCTCAAAGACAGTCACCAGTATCGGGGCTGTACAGTCGAATAACTGGTGCTGGTTGGCACTCTCCAAGTAGTGCTCCTTGTGCTCTAAAACTCTCCAAACCGCTTGGCCACTTGAGAGCGTGAATCTGGCAAAGGAGGATCTAAGAGGATAGTCCCTAGCAGTGAACCTGGGCTCAGGAGTTCGAAAGGACCTAGCCGAGAAAGCCACATTCACACCCATGCCACCTACACTATGCCAGCCCCGTTCTTCACACAGGGCCATGAGGTGTCCGAGTATCGGATCTGTACCGTGAACAGGCTTCCCAGGCAAAGAGTCCTCAGGAGCAGAGGCTTGGGCCGGTCGCTTCTTCGCTTTCGACACCTGCTTCACAAAAACAGGGCTGTAGGTAACTGACCAGCTGCCAGTGCGGATGATCTTCCGCATGTGCGTGAGATCCATTTCTTTTGTCCCAGCATCGGCCCACATGTTTTCCGTACTCGTCCAACGAATGGACGTGTTGGGACGCCGAAGGATCTGCCTGAGCCAAGCAATGGTGAAGGCGAGGCTCTTCTGGGACCCGAACGACGACGTGTCTGACGAAGCCTTGTCAAAGACGTCCTTGGCGTCCACGACCACTGTAAGAGGAACCGCGTTCAACGACTGGTCGACGGACTGCTTGTGAAGGGAGTCGCCCCGGACAGTCGCCAAGAATCCCCGGCACAACTGTCCCACGTCAAATCCTTCTTCGGCTCCCAACGTCTCGGCCGCGTAGCTGGATCGGCAAACTCTGGCTAGCCGATGGCTTCGAGCATCCACAATGTTGAAGCGACCTTGGCGGCCCTGCATCAAGTCTTCGTCTGCTAAGAGTACAAAGTAGCAGGCCTGTGAAAAGACCTTCTCCAAGGGAGCACCTGTGGCCGATCCGGATGCCATCACGTTGCCGAGGGCGGAGTCGGTCACCACCATGAGGCCGCCGGCGTACGGGTTCACCGGCTGGAACCGCAGCTCAAAGTCGCGGTGCTTCTGGAACTCAGTTAGCGCCGCGTTGGCCCTCATCAAGGTGCCTACCGTAGGAGTCTCACCCTGCAACGAGGACACCACAAAGGCCATGTCGAACCTCAGCTGTGTCACCAGCCATTGGTAGCTCCCAAGTAGAGCTCGAAGTTGCCTTGCCTCAAAGGAAGTCAAAGGGGCCGAAAGGTCGCCCTTGCGATGGCTGCTCACCGGAATGGGCTTCAAGTTGTCATGATAGGCCCTCATGGACAGGTACACGCAGCCGTCGCCGCGCTTCTCGAACTGCTTGCCACACCACGTGAACTTGTCCTTGGTGAGCTCGCGGAAGCCGAGCTCCTCTCCGACACTGCGCAGCGATTGTTCGGCCTCGGGACCCCCAGCAAACAAGAGATCATCAACATGGGCCACAACGATGCCAATGATGTTGTTGTTGGCGTCGCGCAGCATCCAGGTCGCTTGGTCAATGGCAGAGCGTGTCCACTTCCGAGTTTCCATAGACCGGCTGAGTCTCTGCCACCAGCGCCTTGGAGCGTCAGCTAGGCCGAAAATTCCTTTCAGAACTCGAGCCAACCGTCCTTGAGGCAGCCCTGGAATAGGCGGCCCAGCTCTCTCATCTGTGTTCGAGAGAAAGAGGTCGCGGTCCAAGTATGGATCTCCTTTGAGGAACGCCGATTTGATGTCTGCACTGTAAAGAGACCACGTAGAGCTGTGCCAGGCCAACAAGCTGAGCAGAAAGTGCTGGGCCAGCCGCGAGCCTGTTGGTGCGTCGCGGCGCAGCTCGCCGGACAGATTGGCTCTATCCTTGAATCCTGGAACGACAAGTCGCGCGCTGGGCTCCGGAGGCAACGGATTAGTCGCGGTTCGAAGTCCTTCTGCCTTGTCCGTCATCACCCAGCGTGGTTTGAGGATCTTGTCGAGCTCGCCTTTGCGCGCCAGGTCTCGTTTAACTCGCTGAGTCTCTTGTTCAGACAGCACCTGCACGGCTTGGTTGTCGGTATATGCACGCCAGCCTTTTACAGCTGCCGCCTCCCAGAGCTTCCGTTGTGAAGCATCCATCTTGCTCCAAACCATCTCCTTCCGGGCAGTCGCGGCTTCAACCGAATGCTCGGCCGAACTTCCTCTCGGCCAGTCAAGACCAAGCTTCTCGAAGAGTTCCCACTGCGTCCGTCCAGGCATGGACCATCGGCCATCCCAGCTTCCATGGTCCGGTTCACGGTCAAACAGCGTAGAGGGGTGCTGTCTGTCCATTTCAACCATCGCCTGCACCTTCATCAGGATATGAACATCCTCTCCAACGGCCACATTCTCAAGCTCCTCACGGGTCATGGTCAGGGCCTCGAAGGGGATCCGGAGGTTGGTCTGCCTCGTTGGTCGCCGCGGGTGCCACCGAAGAAGGGTTCGTGGGCGAGCGGCTCGACGTAGAGGTTTGCGCCACATCCGCCGTCAGCGGTGGTCCTGCAGTAGAGCTCGCTGAGCCCGAAGCCTCCGCAGCTGAAGGCACCGGCCCATCGGAAATCCCACTGGCCTCCGCGCCAGCAGCAGGCTGCATCTCTCTCGCCGCTTCCAAGTCCGAAGCTGACCGCTTCCTTCCACGAACCATGGCTTGCCTTAGCTCTTCCTGAAAGTCCGAAGGTTGGCCTCGGCGAAGAGCTGCTTGCTGAATGTTCTCGAGAAGTGGGGCCTGTCGGGCCCTCGTCAACGCCTGCTGAATCACCGGGCGATCAAACAGCTGACCTACGGGAGTCCCCGGTGCGGCCGTCAAAGAGGAAGTGGTCGATGAAGTCTGAGGGGTTCCAGGCGAAGGAATCTGCTCTTGTCTTGCTTCCTCGCCCGGTTGACCACCAACCACCAGTGGCATTCCTCGAAGAAGTAGCTCCTCTTCAGGGATCACCTCCATCTCGTCGTCGGGCACTCCAGCGGGGCGGTCTCGCGCCGAGCTGTCCTCGAGGCCTTGCTGATCAACGGACGGAGGTGTCAATGATCTCCTTGATGGCATCCTCCCAGGTCCCAGCCGCCAGCTGTTCCAAGCTGGAAGCTTTCCGGATGTGCTCAACCGAGCACTTGGTAAGCTGGCCGCGGTAAGAAAGAAAAGCGCTTCCCGGAACTCCACCAGAACCGCCTTCAAGTGCGACCAAAATCGCGGGTCCATGCCAACGCTTCAGTTCAACACGCCGGCGCGAAGAAGACGTTGAAGTCCTTGGGTCGCCCTTCTTCGGGTTTACTTTCTGCTGCCTGAAGAAGAAGCACACATCTCCAGGGGCAGGAAGCGAGCGGGTAGCAGGCTCCCTTGACCGCGCCAGCTCAGCCTTACGGATCGTCTGGCTGTAGTGGAGCCTCACCATTCCGACCCGAGCAGATTCTCTGAGAGCCATCCTCCACGTAAGGGTCGGCGAAGTGTCTATCAGTCCATGCTCAGACAAGCGCCCGTGGAAATTGTGAAGAACGCTCCCTTCAGCGGCCGGTTGCCGACCTGTCACAGCCTGGAGTGGGCTCACGCCTTCAGCCGTGCAGTCACAATTGTAAGCCGAACAAGCTTCTGCAACCACAGCCGCCATCTCCTCAGCTCCAGTGATGCTCTTCTCGGCCACCATGTGAGAAACAAGCGTCTTCAAAATGCCACCGGAGCGCTCCGCCGTGCCATTCATCCACGGAGCTTGGACGGCACAGTGCCACAACAATGTGCTTCGAGACTCACAGAAGTCACTGAAGGTCTGGCTAATAAACTCTCGGCCTTGATCTGCCACAATCACACGAGGAGCGCCCAGTATGGGCCACCACAGCCGATTCAGGAACTTGATCACGGACTCCGAGGTCTTGTCCGGGAGCAGCTCGGCCAACTGGTACTTCGACACAGCATCGGTAGCATGAGCGACGACAAAAGGTTGACCCAAAGCATCCTCGACCACAACCAAATCCAAGTGAACTTGCTCACCGACTTGGCGAGGTGGGGGTAGCGACGCTGGTCGTCGGGCCTTGGGTGCCTTTCGCTCTTCACAAACAGCACACTTCAGGGTCTTGGCTGCCATCACGGCCTCAAGCGGTGCCCCTGACACAACCAGTGCTCGGGCCAATCTGCGATTTGAACGATGCCCCGTCGCCTCATGAATCCTCCGAACTGCCGCCCTCACTGCCGGTGAGATCTCCACCTTCACGTCCTGGGCCACGATCTCGTCATCCTCGGAGGCGGGCTCAAACTCGAAGTCGTCCGGCTGATCCGCATTGTCCGCGGCGAACACCTCGTGCTCCAACTCCACCGAACCATCAGCACGAACCACATAGCACTCACTCACCTTTTGGCTCTCGCTGCCGCACCGCGTCTCATAATCAAACTGGTTCTCCATGGCCTCCACCACGGCCTTCGCGAAGGACTTCGTGTAGTGCCCCACCTCAGTTATCTTGCCACCTCCAATCACATGTTCATGCTGATGCTGTCCATTGCACCTGGCGCCTTGGAAGCGGCTCACGACGGCCTGCGACGACGTCAAAAGCCGCGTGGGCTTCTTGTGCAGTCCTCCACCCGGGCCCCGAAGACCAAAGCAACACTGATCAAGCCGAACCGAAAGAAACTGGTGCAGCAGCTTTTGCAAACGTAGCTGCCGCCATGCTGCAGAGAGGTCCGGGTTCTCGATGATGAAGTGTCTCCCCCCCCTGGCTTGTTCTTCAGCCAGAGCCACAGCGAATCTGATGAGGACCCGGCCCTCGGCTCGTTTGGCCCGTAGAAGGTCGGGACAGGCACGAAGTCGCTGTAAAGGGCTCCAGGGTCCGCAAGGAAAAGCGATCATCACGAAGTACGGCTTTTTCTCCCGAACCAAAGCCATGGCACGGTCACGGTCATGGCGGCGCCGAAAATCGAAGCCGCTCCACAGAGTCATGGACGGCCCCGTCACGTGCCCACGAAGTTCCGCCTGTCGCTTCACATTTTCTGTGTCTGTAAAAACCTCAGTCAGCAACGGAACGTCCAACACAAAAGTTTCATTCATGCCCTTGCGCATACGCAGATTCCACTCACTGAGCATCACCTCCTTGACTCGAGACGGAGCCATCGACAACGCCAGCTGATCACGTCGGTGACGCTCCCAAGCCTGAGAAATCAGCTGCTTCTGTGCGGGCTTCACCGCGAATCGAGGCACCCCGACATCTCTGTGCGAGGATCCAAAGTCGCTTGACCTGGTTGGGGCCCCACCATCTGGAACTCCTCGCTGAGCTCCTCCATGTGTGTGTCTCCGGCGGAGATGTCGAAGGCCTGAGGTTGCACGCTCTGCGCCTGCATCACGTGCGTCAGCAGCTGGTTGAACATGGCCTGGTAGCGCTCGTCCATTGCAGCCATCTGGCGATTGATCATGTCCATGGCGTTGGCTTCCCACGTGGGCTGTGACTGTGTTACACTCCCTGGCACCTGACTCGAAGAAGGTCCTGAGGACATTGGCCCCGAGGTCTGCTCCGTATCGTTCCCAAAGTTGTTTCTGTTCTGAACAAAGGCCCCCGAGGAAGTGGTCAATGAAGTCTGATGGGTTCCTGAGGGAATCTGCTCTGTCTTGTCCAGCGGGACACTTGCACACAGATCGACGATAAAGGGCTTGATCTTGCTCCGGATGTCTGCCACCTTGTCCTGGTCGGAGACCTCGATGTGCAGCAAGGTCGCGAGCTTGATGAGGTCCGCCTTGAGCACCGGCAACCCGCCGCGTGGGCAGATGAGCTGCCTGGCCGCCTTCAGTCGATCTTGGTTCCGCGCCACTTCGGCGGCCTCTGCTCGGGCAGCCTGGTTCTTCATGGCAGTGAAGCGCCCCTTCTGGAAACGTGCAGCCAGCATCCCGCTCACCATCGGGTCCTCGAGAAAACAAAACTCCAGGCCGGCACGGCTCCTGAACCATGTAAGAGACACCAGGCTGGCCGGAGCGAAGAACATGCGATCGCCCCACCGACGTGGCAGAATGCCACCATTCATCATCGCCTCGCACTGGTTCTGCCATTGCACCACCGTGGACACAGCAGGATACGGCACAGGCAACCAGCGCAAAGAGGGCCGCTTTACTAGCCATAGACGAAGTCCTTCGTAGTGCCATTCGCGGCGGCCGATAAGTCGAAGGGCGAAGCGCCTCCACAGGAACACGCCCCTGGTGTACGGGTCGATCGGATTGATTGTTGTCGGGCCGGTCGGTGGCACTGCGTTCCCGAACTGCGGCCGTTGAAAAAGACCTGGCGACGCCGTCGGCCGAGGAGTAGCCATCAGCCGAAGCAGGCGTCGAGGAATGCTTGGGGCTACGAACAAGGTTGTTCTTGCCTGGCATCTGAAAGGAGCCGTCGCAGCCACGATGACGGAATTGATAAGCAAGCCTTGCCAAACATGCGCTAGCTTCGGTCATGTAGTGATTGTGTTCGCCCTGGGCCGTGACAGACTCTCTCTGCAAAAGGTGGCGCGTCCACAAACGACAAGACAACTGCATCTCGAGCACACCATCTAGCCCCATACGATGCCAACGGGCTTTGGGAAGTTTTTCCGGCCAGCGCTCAGGTGCGAGTGGCAATGCAAGGTGACCGGCCGTGAGCTTCTCCAAAGGCGTCACCGGGACATTGTCCCCAAAGACTTCACATTTCAAAGTGCGCCGGGAGAAATCCAGCACTGCCTGCAAACAATCAAGAGCGTCACGGCCTATAAGAAGCCCGAGCGAATTCACCGGCACCGTTGAGATCCACAAGAAAACAACTCGATCACAAATGACCGCAGGCACCTTGTGTCGAAGGCGGCTCGGAAGAGTGCCGCCGTTCCCGAACCGAAAGTTCTCGGTCTCCGGCTCGGTTTTCATCATAGCTTTCACCCAGTCCGGGCGAAGGCCTTCACATGCTCAACGTAATCACGCAGCCAATCTTCGCCCGCACAGGTGCGGTTGCAGGCAGAATCAAGCGCTCCCACCAAAGCCTTGTCGACTGCATAGCCAATCCCCATAGCCAGTGCCTCGCGAGCATTGTCCAGGGCCCGAAGCGCTTGCTCCAAGTCCAGGCCAGCATGGGAAATCATCATCACATCATGTGGTGGGTTCGCCTCGTAGTTCTCGGTCTGGGCTGCTTCATGTCCCGGGCTGCTTTCTGAAACTCTCTCTGCAATCCGAACCTGTTTGGTTTTCCCCGGCTGCTTTCGCCCAAGTCCAGCTCCGGGCTTTGGGCATTCGGGGTCACCTGCCCAGTGACCAATCCCCAGGCAATCGTAGCATGGGTGTTTCGAACTTGCCTTTCTCGCCGCTATCGAAGAAGACCCGGCCTTGGGCTTGTGTGGTCCAGCCGAAGAGGTAGAGGTCGCAGAGGTCGGGCCACGATATCCGCGGTCCTTTCTCACTTCCGCCAGCTTGGACCTGGCCTCCCGCATGGAAATCAGGGCTTCTGCACTAGCTTCTATCCCGCACTCCAAGGCCTCAAGCGTCTCGGCATCCACACCGGCCTCCTCCGCTTCGGCAATCCCCTCGGCGAGCTGTTCAACTTCGGCTTGAAGTACCTCCTCAAACGACCGCTCGCCCTCGGGCTCCTCGGCCGCCGTCTCCGCCTCGTGCTCTGTCTCCTGGTCCTCGGTTTCGTCCGCCTCGGCAACCTGCACCTGCCTTGCGCTGCCCACCGAAGTCCACCTGGAGAACGAAGACGCCGGCAAGGAGCTCCACGAAGACCGCCGCGATCCCTCCGAGGTGCGCGCTCCGGAGGTAGAGGTAGCCGACGAAGAAGGTGGCCGCCCCACGCCGAACATACGGCGTATCGTCAGCTTGCCTCCGCCCTTTGCCTCAGAACCCAAGCGCTTGAAGAGCGGATCCTGAAGGTGCAAATCACGAAAAAGGCGCAAGCTCTCGGATTCCACATCGCCATAAGCCTCTCGGCCGGCCAAGGCAGTTTCTAACATTTGTTTGCGCAAAGCATCCAGACCAAGCTTCTCCTTCAAAAACCATCCTAATTCACTGTCCGGAAGCCTCACGCCCTCCGCCTTCAAGTCGGCGGCCGTCGTCCTGAAACGCGACGCAAAGTCTGCGACGCGCTCCCCAGCCCGCCTCGAGAGGTTGGTGTAAAAGACGGTTCGAAGTTCACCTCGACGGTCGAGCGGAGTCTGGCCGCTCATCTTTTCCAAGGCATCCAACAGCTTATTCAGGCCGAACAGCAGGTCCTCGGGCTCCCCGACCAGAGTTTCACCTGTATCCGGATCGACATAGCTTTCAGCTGGCTTGTAAACCAGGTCTTCGGGAGAAAATTCCTCCCCTCGCTGTCTCACCACTCCACTTTGTCTCATCAGCCACCTCGCCGCCAGATTGTACTTCTTGGTGGCCTCCAGGTCTAAGGAAGAGGTCCACCACTGCATCTCTCGCTTGAACGTCCGCCAGGTAGCTGGCGAGCCATCCCATGTTGGCACCCTGCTCCAAGCGCCATGGCCCTCATGTTCGGTGGAGGTCATCAGTCCAGCAAGGCCCTTTCACTAAGGAAAGGCGGTCGAATTCACGTCACGGGTGACTCAGGCTCGAGCGCCCGACGCAGAGTTGCCAAGACCGCGTCCCGGCACCACGTTGGCTGCCTCGGTCTTAAGATCACCAAAGGCTCGTAGAAAACGGAGTGCGCAACCAGATCGCCGCAAAGAACTCAGGCTCCGGTGCCACTGACAAAGCAGTAGCCGCTGCAACCAGAAAAGGCAGCAACGCACCGACTTGCTTTTCCATCCACCGCAGCACAAAGTGATGGCTGAAGGCCTGTCAGCCGAAACGGCAACAGCGAAGGATTCCTGCGCTTGAAGATGCATGCTTTAACACCCGGAGATCCCAGAAGCTCTCCACTCTCAGTTTTCTGACGAACACGCAATCATGTTGTCACCAGTTCCCGCTGAACAAGTTACCGCATCGTCCGTCTTGAGCTAGCTCGTCTTCGCTGAGCGGCACGGGGCATCACTACTTACTGCATGCGGAGCTGATCAGGAACTGGTCCCTTGGAATAGATGTTTGTCTCCAGCACCATTCTCATCCTCAGAAATCTGCCTGATAGTGATCTGTGACCATGAATGAAAGTCTCGAGCCACATCTGCTGATAGTCTGTTTGTCTGCTTCGAATTGTCAAGCTAGAAAGCCAGTGAAGCAAACGGCCTTGCGCTAAGCCCAGGCCGATTAAACATTCGGGGTCCCAATTTTTACGACGTGTGCTCCAGGTTTGCGCGCTCGGCAGAATGGAAGGACGAAAGCTGAGGTTGTCGCGTCAGAGAACATGTTTCGTGCTGACAAGCGGAATCGGCAATCGGAATTTCTGTTTCCAAGATATGAAGGAGATACCAACTTTGCTTGGCGTTCCAATCTTGCTTGAATTCGTACATACAAGTATTGTTCACCAGATGCTTGCAGAAGTTTCACTGGAAGTCGAAGGTCCCAATGACCCTTCAGTCTAGAGCTTCGTGGCACCGGGCTAAATGACCCAACACCGGATCAGTCCCTAACCCTGAATCGCCAGATTCAGAATCTCCAGTTATTCCCTACACAGGAAGCCACTTGGCGGACTGATTCACCTCCTACCAGCTGCGATCCCTCCAAAAACCTTGAAGACCCAAAGACTGCGAGAGCCCCACAAGCCGCAAACACTCAAAGAGCAAAGGTTTCGAAAGACCGAAAGACCCCAAAAGCTCCGAAGGCGTCGCAAGGCGTTGCAGATTCCAGTAAGCCCGCAGACCCACTACGTCCACTACGGAAGATCACTATTCATCGCCATCGTGTGTTGGATCACTACATATGCTATTATGACATATGACGCTTCAAAGCAAAAACGCTGGAGCCCCTTCACGACAGACCCTTCACAGTTTAAACTCTCTGTGTGTGTGTGTGTCAGCTCCCGATCAGCACAGGGAGGATGACGCAAGCCCACCACCACAGGGTCATTCTGAGCTAGAGCCGGTAATATGAATAGCTAAGCCGTCTGAGAACTGTCGCCGTGAAGCCTTGCCTGTGCGAGTGTTTGTGTCACTTTGAGATTTGAGTCGAAACATTGTCGATACCACGTTCTGTGGGCTTGATGGACAACGCATGGGATGGAACTGCCCATCGACAAAGACACCAGCAATGGATGCCGTCGTGCACAGCTGGAATGCCACCAATTGGGCCAGGACTCCAGCCCCGGACGACGACATGATTAGGCAGTTCTTGGACACTGTATTGAACTGCTAGATCGTCACAGGGCAAGGACCCAGCCCTTGACGACAATGTGGTGCGACGACAACGCGGGTCATACTCCTCTTGACCGACTTTCTCCAGATGCCCGGAAACCGTTGAGAACACCTTAGTGTGTGTGCTTGGCTGGTACTTCTGATTACGCAGTGGATGAGATTGAAGCAAAGCAACGAATGACTCCTGTGTCGGAGTTAGTCAGTCCACAAGTTGTGCGATTTTCGATTATTCCGGCTAGTTTCAACGCAAATTCGCTTCCGAGAAGCATGAGGAAGATTCTAGGTTTGGACAGCTGGACAATCTTGAACACATTGACTACTTCGACGGCAGAAGGTTAAGTGGCAGGGGGCCAACCGACACACTTTCATTGCACCGTGATATTTAATTTCGTAATGTTTCGAGGGGATGCATTCTCTACGATCTATACGTACATGAATCACATGAAAGTGTGGAGTATGTACAACAGATGTTTGCCGATGAAGTTTCAGAGGAGGTTCAAGGTCAGAATGGGTGTTCAGTCCTGACACTGACTCTGTATAAAGCTTCGTGGCGCGCGGCTAAGCTAAGAATCCAAGAAGGACGATTTCCAAAAAAAGACAACCCCTGCGGAACCCCCTCGGAAAGACTTTCCCATGTATGTTTGTTGTGTGGGTGCGTGCTGCATGCAGGCTCTCGTGGAAGTGCTCCAGTTGTAGGTGTTGGGCCCGCTGGGCCTCGGTGCCGTCCTGCTCAAGGGGGAATGGCCCTTGTGCCTTCGCTTCGAGAGCAGCCAAGCCAAGCCATGCATCTTGCCGATCACAAAAGACAAAGCGAGAAGCAGCTCTGACCAGTAGACAGATGCCCACAGCCTCGACTCCAAAGCATGAGATTCAAGGCATCTCAAGGGAAGACACCGAGGCATTCACCGCTCTACTTGACCCTTTGACTTCATCTTCTCCTCGAAGATAGCTTTGTCCCTCGCCTCCATCTGTGGCTGCATAGCATCTTCTTGGTGTGTTGGGATTCGGCCTGGCTGTCCGTCTCCAAGAACAGAATCTCCTTGCATCACTGAATCACTCGATGTAAACACTGGTAAAATCGGATCACCGACGATGTCTTCGACTCACTTCTAGCTTAGCAGCGAAGTTGCACCGAGCACCGCGGACTCTCCACGAGGCTCTTGCATGCGGAACCGAGCGATTTACAGTTGCGCTTGCGCAACTGAACATCATGAGCGATGAGTAGTTACAGGCCTCCGGATTCCCAAGCGGCAGCAAGGGCCTAAGCCTCTTCAGAGCATAGGTAGTGGACGATGTCCCGGACGTGCTATCATTGGAGCGAAGGACGTAAGCCGTATTTGCAAATGAAATCTCAGTGGAGTACAGCTTCGTGGCCCCGAACAGTGCTTGAGTTCAAATGATCCATGAACGATCACCTTCCACCATGGAACGTACCGGAGGAATGAGCTGAGGTTCTTCTTTGTTGATGCTGCCGCCCTCGTCGATGTCGACGAACTGCCGCGTTACACGACCGTCTCACACAGCAGAAGGAGACTCCGGCCTGGAACAGATAGTGTAGCTCTTCTACCTCGGAAGGTCGAAGAATTCAAGCCGATGTCGCTACCAGTGGCCGTAGCCTTTCAGAGATCTTCAGTGTAAGGCCTGCGATGCAGTCAGCTCTGATGGGTACCAGGCGGTCCCGTCGAAGCCCGCTGCCAAGCAAGATGACGTCCAACCTCCCAAAGGAAGTCGTTTCGACTTCAGCTGCCACTTTTGCGTCGTGAGTCATGTTGCCTGGTCACCTGCACCTCTCTTATCGCGACAATGAGATTGTTGGAACGTCACAAACGGCCCTTGGCCTGCACGGTCCAGACTGCCTGTCTGCTTTGCATCGATGACATTCCAGACGTCTGCCTCGTGCCACAACATCTTAAAGAAGTGAGTAAACTTTGCCCATCGAGGCGTCCGCTGGAGACCCGAACTTCTCTTTGATCCACTCCCGAACTCGCCGAACAAGATCGCCGTCCTTCTTGGACAAATCCTGCAGCAGTTCTCACAAATCAGTCAAAGCGGCTGGGTTTTCCATCCTTTCCTGTCCTCCAATGTAAGGCTTTCTGCGCTCGGACCCACGATGTTTCGAGCACTCAACTCCTGGCTTGTCAAAATCATTGGTGTGGCGACGGTCCGCCCGTTGCGTGCCGTCGCGTGCTGCTCGTGCCATCTCGTGCGTGACATGTAGTAGGACCGTTGCAGCAGCTAAGCGGCTGCAGAGCAAAATGCACAGCATGCCAGCCGCGCAAGAAGGCCAAGCCGTCGCAAGTGCCAGTCGAGCTCCTGAAGCACCCAGGTTCGTATAATGCCTTTTGGACGAACGACATGCTCTGGGCGTACGCCTTAGGCCTGTGCACAAAAACAAGAGGATGCTCATCTTACCGTGTCTCATCTTCGAAGGCTCGATGAATAGTCAAGACATGTTCGCTTAAACATCAAGGTCTACGGTCAAGTCTCAGACATTAGCACAGCACAGTATTGGGAGCATAAAGATGGCAGCTGGCCTTCAACTCGACGTCCATCGAACCTGACTTGTGCAGCTTCCGGGATCTCGAACGGTACCACCGGTTTCGATAATGTTATGCTACTTGTGCTGCACGCAACTAGAAGAAGCTGGCAAGTCAGTCGCAAACCATCTGGATCCAGTTCTCGTCGCCATCCGACGAGAAAGTAGCCACCTGGCAGCGCGGGCCAGGCCCCACGGCCCCAGACCCCTGTGTGTCTTTTAGCGTGTTGCATTGCGTTCTTGCTGCATAGTGGTCTCTGGCTGGCCTCCTTTGTCGGTTAGAGTTGAGATGAGGGCATGTCGTTCTTTGGCCTTAGCTGCTAACCTGTCTGGCAGTGCTGCAAGCGAGGCACGGTCTTTCCTGCTGAGGTCGTTGCCCTTCTTAACTCTTGGCTCTGCTCCTCCAGCAATGCAGACTTCCGCCTGAGGCCCAGCACGCAATTACACGCAACAACAACAACAACAGCACCAGC